CTCTTCAGAAGTTAATATGCGGCTCCTTGTATAGGCACCGACTTCGGGGCTGGACCTACAGGTGCCAACTTTCCAATCATAGAATATCAGGGTTGGAAGGGACCTCAGGAGGTCATCTAGTCCAACCCCCTGCTCAAAAGCAGGACCAATCCCCAATTAAATCATCCCAGACAGGGCTTTGTCAAGCCTGACCTTAAAAACTTCTAAGGAAGGAGATTCCACCACCTCCCTAGGCAACGCATTCCAGTGTTTCACCACCCTCCTAGTGAAAAAGTTTTTCCTAATATCCAATCTAAACCTCCTCCACTGCAACTTGAGACCATTACTCCTTGTCCTGTCCTCTTCTACCACTGAGAATAGTCTAGAACCATCCTCTCTGGAACCACCTCTCAGGTAGTTGAAAGCAGCTATCAAATCCCCCCTCATTCTTCTCTTCCGCAGACTAAACAATCCCAGTTCCCTCAGCCTCTCCTCATAAGTCATGTGTTCCAGACCCCTAATCATTTTTGTTGCCCTTCGCTGGACTCTTTCCAATTTATCCACATCCTTCTTGAAGTGTGGGGCCCAAAACTGGACACAGTACTCCAGATGAGGCCTCACCAATGTCGAATAGAGGGGGACGATCACGTCCCTCGATCTGCTCGCTATGCCCCTACTTATCCATCCCAAAATGCCATTGGCCTTCTTGGCAACAAAGGTACACTGCTGACTCATATCCAGCTTCTCGTCCACTGTCACCCCTAGGTCCTTTTCCGCAGAACTGCTGCCTAGCCATTCGGTCCCTAGTCTGTAGCTGTGCATTGGGTTCTTCCGTCCTAAGTGCAGGACTCTGCACTTATCCTTATTGAACCTCATCAGATTTCTTTTGGCCCAATCCTCCAATTTGTCTAGGTCCCTCTGTATCCTATCCCTGCCCTCCAGCGTATCTACCGTATCAATGTGCCGGGGGTGCTCACTTCTCAACCCCTTGCTCTGCCCCAGGCCCTGCCCCCACTCCACCCGTTCCCGCCCCCTCCCCTGAGCCTGCTATGCCCTCGCTCCTCCCCCTCCCCCCCCAAGCCTCCTGCATGCCACAAAACAGCTGATCGAGGTGCAGGGAGGGATGGAGAGGCGCTGATTGGCGGGGCTGCTGGTGAGCAGAAGGCACTGGGAGCTGGGGCGATGGGAGGGGGGCCGAGCTAGGGGGAGGAGGGGCTGCTGACGTATTACTGTGGCTCTTTGGCAATGTACATTGGTAAATTCTGGCTCCTTCTGAGGATCAGGTTGGCCACCCCGACCTAGACCTTCCCTATCCCTCAAAGAAGTGTTAACTAAATAATAGAAAGCACTATAACGCCTTTGCATCACACCACACGCCTCCCCCTCACAAAAAACAAACAAACCCCAAGCTTCCCCCTCACAAAATAGCAAAAATTGTGGTTTTAACAAGACATCTGACAAACTGCGCTGCTTAGTCCCTAATTAGCTTCTTGTCACATCTCCTTTGGGTCCAGTCTTACAGTGAGGACTGTATGGGCAGATTCTTCTGCCCATTGGGGCCCACTGAAGTCAGTGGGACAACACCTAGGTTCAAGGATCTGGTCATGGTGTTCTTAGATTGTTAAACCTTTGAGGTAGGGACTATCTTATCTCTGTGCGTATATGCCTAGCACAATAGGGTCCTGACCCCTGTCTGGTTCTATAGGTTTTACCACAATGCAAATAATATAGAGTAATTAGCTTATCCTTCTTCTGCACTTCTCTATTCATAAATGTTTTCATTACACTGAAAAATAATTTGAAACATTTTATTTTGTTTGGATGTAAGCATTTCACAGTAGTATTTTCAACTCATACATTGCAGCATTCTGCTGATGCATGAAGACCAGAAAGGGAAACCTGAGGGGTTTAATTTAATTGTCCAAATTGAATAAAGTATAAAAAGTAAACACAGCATAAATGGGTCAGAGTAAACTGGATTATTAGAATCCATTCATCTTCAATAATAGAAGGTGCAAGTGGTAACAGGTGTAGGGACTTGTTTATTTAAAATACAAAATTTAATCCAAGATGATCCCTTTTTTTAAAAGGAAGGTCCTGGCCGCTTTGTGTGGACCTTAAAGAACCCATGATACTTTTCTTGCATTGCGGGGAGGGGCACCCCAATGTCCTTTACCAAAGTTCCCACGTCTGCCAATGTTGTGTTTATTACACTGGTTGTATGTCTGTTTACCAGACAGGTAACTGAATTTCCATTATTAATCTGTATGGGAGTAAAGGTGATCTTGTGGCAGAGGCCTGAGAGCCAGACAATTTAGGTTCTACTCCCACAGGTTTCTTTTGTCATCTTGGGCAAGTCATTTAGGTGAGGTTCCTGCAGATACTGAGGCTTGGTCTCAAAATTTAGGTTGACATAGCTACAGCACTCAGAGGTGTGAAAAATCTACATACACCTGACCATTGGTAGCAATGCTGACATAATTCCTGGTGTAGAAGGACGTAAGAATGTTTCTGTCAACCTAACTACTCTTGCTCAGGGAGGTGGTGTTCCTACAGTGAAGGAAAAATCCCTTCCCTTGCTGTAGGCTGTGTCTATACAGTGGGCTTACAGTAGTGTAGCTATGGCACTTTAGCGCCCAAAATGTAGACATGGCCTGACGCCCATGAGTAACTTTATATGTGTGAGTAATCCAGGACTACTACTCACATGTGTAAAATTACTCCTGTGCAAAAGTGTTAGCAGCATCAGGGCCTTGTAACCTCTCTGTGTTTCAATTTCTTTGTCTTTTAAAATTAGGTTAATATAATACTTAGAGCATAGAATATCAGGGTTGGAAGGGACCTCAGGAGGTCATCTAGTCCAACCCCCTGCTCAAAGAGGACCAATCCCCAACTAAATCATCCCAGTCAGGGCTTTGTCAAGCCTGACCTTAAAAACTTCTAAGGAAGGAGATTCCACCACCTCCCTAGGTAATGCATTCCAGTGTTTCACCACCCTCCTAGTGAAAAAGTTTTTCTTAATATCCAACCTAAACCTCCCCCACTGCAACTTGAGACCATTACTCCTTGTTCTGTCATCTACTACCACTGAAAACAGTCTAGATCCATCCTCTTTGGAACCTCCTTTCAGGTAGTTGAAAGCAGCTATCAAATCCCCCCTCATTCTTCTCTTCTGCAGACTAAATAATCCCAGTTCCCTCAGCCTCTCCTCATAAGTCATGTGTTCCAGTCCCCTAATCATTTTTGTTGCCCTCCGCTGGACGTTTTCCAATTTTTCCACGTCCTTCTTGTAGTATGGTTCCCAAAACTGGACACAGTACGCCAGATGAGGCCTCACCAATGTCGAATAGAGGGGAACAATCACGTCCCTCGATCTCCTGGCAATGCCCCTACTTATACATCCCAAAATGCCATTGGCCTTCTTGGCAACAACAGCACACTGTTGACTCATATCTAGCTTCTCGTCCACTGTAACCCCTAGGTCCTTTTCTGCAGAACTGCTGCTGAGCCATTCGGTCCTTAGTCTGTAGCGGTGCATGGGATTCTTCCATCCTAAGTGCAGGACTCTGCACTTGTCCTTGTTGAACCTCATCAGATTTCTTTTGGCCCAATCTTCTAATTTGTCTAGGGCCCTCTGTATCCTATGTCTACCCTCCAGCGTATCTACCTCTCCTCCCAGTTTAGTGTCATCTGCAAACTTGCTGAGGGTGCAATCCCACACTATCCTCCAGATCATTAATGAAGATATTGAACAAAACCGGCTCAGGACCGACCCTTTGGGCACTCCACTTGATACCGGCTGCCAACTAGACATGGAGCCATTGATCACTATCCATTGAGCCCGACAATCTAGCCAACTTTCTATCCACCTTATCTTCCATTCATCCAGCCCATACTTCTTTAACTTGCTGGCAAGAATACTGTGGGAGACCGTGTCAAAAGCTTTGCTAACGTCAAGGAACACCACGTCCACTGCTTTCCCCTCATCCACAGAGCCAGTTATCTCCTCATAGAAGGCAATTAGATTAGTCAGGCATGACTTGCCCTTGGTGAATCCATGCTGACTGTTCCTGATCACTTTCCTCTCCTCTAAGTGCTTCAGAATTGATTCCTTGAGGACCCGCTCCATAATTTTTCCAGGGACTGAGGTGAGGCTGACTGGCCTGTAGTTCCCAGGATCCTCCTCCTTCCCTTTTTTAAAGATGGGCACTACATTAGCCTTTTTCCAGTTGTCCGGGACTTCCCCCGATCGCCATGAGTTTTCAAAGATAATGGCCAATGGCTCTGCAATCACATCCACCAACTCCTTTAGCACTCTCGGATGCAGCGCATCCAGCCCCATGGACTTGTGCTCGTCCAGCTTTTCTAAATAGTCCCGAACCACTTCTTTCTTCACAGAGGGCTGGTCACCTCCTCCCCATGCTGTGCTGCCCATGGAGAAATTTACTGGCTTTACCATAGCTATATAATTATACAGGTTAAGTTATGCCAGGCAATTTCACTGTATAGACAAGCTCTCAGTCTCCTTCCTCACCAACTTTGTTCTGCGCCCAGCACGAGCTCCGTGGTGGTGAATCTCTGCCCGGGCATGGACTACACTGCAGAATCAGGGCCACAACTCCTGGAAACACGAGATTGTTGTGAGAATATCAGCTGCAATAATAATTAATTTTATTAAAGCTATACATTTTTTACTAGCCCTCATGTTTGCAGGGACACATTTGAAAACGTGAGGCAAGTGTACCCTATAGACTGCGAAACCAGATGGAAAATAAAAAGTAGCCCAAATATATTCCTGGGGTTTTTTTTAAACCGTGCTTTTTAAGTCACTTTCGTGATTTTTGAACGCTGGAGGCTGGCGCTAACAAACCAAACCAAGCCGGCAATGCAAGGGGAGCACGACCCAGTACTTTGTAGAGGGGCCCCAAGGCAGCTGCAGCTGCTGGCGGGGGTGGGAATTTGGAGAGGATCCCTCGCCGGCCTGGTGTGTGTGTTATATTGGCAGTGGGGTAAGTGGAGGCTGGGCGGCTCCGACTGCCTGACGCCAGTGAGACCAGATCAATCCAGGCGCAGAGGCAGAGCGAGTGCGGGGCTGCCTGGCGGCTGCAGCCGCAACAGCAGCAGCCAGGGGAGGACGGAGGGAGCCAGCGAGCGGCCGCGGCGTTCGGTGCCTCCTCTGCCCGCTTCGCCGCCCAGCAGCCGGTAACAACTTTGCGCTTCTTTGCCCTCTCCCCAGCCGCCTCCTGTGCCTGGCCCGGGGCCCTCCAAGCCCCCACCCCCCGCGTGCTGGGGCTTGCTGGCTGGCCGGGGCCGGGCAGGGCTTGCTGCCGCCGGGGAAGTGGTTTGAATGGTGGCTGCGCTTTGCCTTGTTGCTCCCCCTTCCCCCGGTTATTTCCAACCTCGGGCTCGGGTCCGGGCTTCTTCTTTTCACCACCGTTTGGGGTAGGGAGGGACGGATTTTTTATTATTTTTATTTTTTTGGAGGGGGACAGGGTTTTTCTCCAGCATGATGGCGTCTCTGCGGGTGCCCGGAGAGAAACCTGTGACTTCTGTGCTTTCAGCGTTGCTGCCTTCTTTGGTTTAAAGTTTCTGGGCAGATTTCTTTGTTGGGCTGGAGGAATTAAAAATAGAGCCGCCAAGAGCGCTCTCCTTCCCTCTTCCTTTCTCCCTTTCCCCCTTTCTCATGAGAAAACCCTATTCCTGGGGCTTCTGCTGCCTCAGACTCTTGTCCTGGCCCCATTGTGTTCACAGCCAAGTGGGAGAAACTTGCAACGGTTCCTGTAAAGCTCTGGCGAGCACAAGGCAAATGCCCTTTTGTTTTTATTTGGGAAAAGCATTTCTCTAATGACTTGGCTACTCCAAATCTTTGTCCCTCCGAATGCATTTGCTTTTTGCAACAAGATTTGTTTAGAGGTCAAGGAAAGTTCACTTAAAATCTTCTGATTATTAGGAGGTTTGGATGCACGTGATTTTCCTTCTCTCAATGTGATTTTCAATTTACTTCTGCTGTACAGAATGAGATTATCCAGCTTGAGATGTACCTTTAAATTTTATTAAGATATGTCCATGCGCAAGTGTTCAATCATGCTTTCTAAAGTAGCTGGGCCAGACCCTATCATTTTTAATGAAGCCAGTGGGAGCTTTGATGGAGTAAGAAGCAAAATATTTATCCCTTTGTTAGCAGTTTATAAAATTACAGAAGATGTACAGGCCGGTTTTGCAGTTTGCTTGTAGAGCATATGCTTATTTGTAGTTTAGTTTTTGGAAGATATATTTAGGGAAAAAGAACTGATGTTCATTGCATCTAAGAATGGGCGCAACCCTTCTCTTGGGTGGAATATTGGATTGTCAGAAACATCAAATTCTTTTTTTTTTCATTGGTGTACATTTCATATAGAAGCAAATATATGCCCATCCTTAGTTTATGGCAGACATAGTAGGATATTGTGTTTCTAGAAATTAGCATTTTAGGTAAAAGGTTATGTTTCAGACCGCTCTATACATAAAAACCGGTTTCAGAGCAGCAACCGTGTTACTCTGGATCTGCAAAAAGAAAATGAGTACTTGTGGCACCTTAGCGACTAAGTGAAGTGAGCTGTAGCTCATGAAAGCTTGTGCTCAAATAAATTCGTTAGTCTCCAAGGTGCCACAAGTACTCGTTTTCTTTTTACATAAAAACTGTCAACTCTTGCCTCTTCTGACTTCTCCTTCCTTGTAAGACTTAGCTTGTTTGTGATTTTGTACATTACACAACATGAAGCTCAAAACTGAGGCTAAGAACGCACAGAGATTATTTTTCTTTATAAGCAGACACCTAAAATTCTGCTAGTCTTCATGTGGCCACGTGCCCACACCTCCGTGTGTCAAACAGTGAATGAATCCTGTAAAGGAACTTGCTGTGTTAAAACTGATTTTAATCTTGTCTCTAAGTACTACATTAAATTTATTGGCGACTTGCTTCCAGTTGCAACTCACAAGGTAAAATATATCAGTCTGGACAGGAGTTCTGTGCAGGGCAGTTGGTAGAAGATTCTCATTGCTCCTTGTTTAAATATTAAATACTTCATTTTTGTGACTCCTTTACAGTGGCTGTCTTTAGGGTTTTTTAATGTTAAGATGAATAACACTTAACCCATATATTTGATAATTCTGTGCTGTTGTTCAGACTCTCCTCTTGTAATTCATTTCACACTGTAACTTGGAGCTTGACAAAGATTTTGCTGGAGTTGGGTGATCCAGGACCCTTACACGGTCTCCAGAAAGGATCAGTTCAAGGCAAGATCAGGTTACCCTAAAGGTAGGGATTTGTCCTTGCTTTAGTTTTGACCCTTCCATTCCCTTGGTATGTAATCCAATACACTTTTTTCCTTATGCTATCCTGTCTACTTTTCATTTTCTGTACTCTTTGATCCAGTACAGTGTAGGAAAAAGACTAGATAAACAGCTTGAGATCCTTCAGTTTCTGTATAAGCAGTGTCTACCAATTCAAGTGTTTGGAAGTTGATAAATATAGTTTTGAGTTCAAACTAGTACCTAAAGGGATGAAATGTAAAGAAAAGTGATACAGTGGTTAATAACATTGCTATGCCTTTTTTGTGTGTACTGGAGTGATTTTTACAGACCCTCCTTAAATTCTGAACCACTTTATGGGTGCAAGTTAGACTGAAGCCATGTTTGTTTGTTTGTTTGTTTGTTTTTTAAAAATAGGAAATAATAAGTTTGAATGTTACCATATTTAAAATACAATAGTGTGCACTACCCAGTCCAAGTTGTGTGTATACAAAAGCCTTCATTTCTGTAGTCTTATAAGGCTAATGGAGGCATCTCCTCAGCTTTATAAATAATGTAAGTTGTGTATAATGTGGAGTCCCCAGAGACTGCAGAGAAAGCATCATTACCAGCCTTTTCAGCCTGCTGGAGATCTTAAATTGATTTACAGCACTGAACTGGTGCAAAATGATACATCAGAATGACATGGGGTCAACCTGTAAAAGTCTGTGATATGAGCCTATTAGTTCAGTCATCATAATTAAACCACATTATGGGGGCACCAAAGCAAGCATGTGTGGCATGGCCTGTTCTGCTTCAAAAATGGGGATGCAGAGAGCACCATGTGTATAACTTAAAACATTTTATATAAAGAGAATTTGAAATTATGAAGAGCAATATGTGAGCAGAGGTACCCTGACTATTAACCTCCTTCTCCCAGTCATTAACAATTGAAACAGAGAATGACCATATCTCTCTTATTGGGTGGGGGAAAAGCTGAATTTTATACAGTTCTCGAGGTTCAAAAATGATCAGGCTTTACTAGCTGACTACACAATCCAACAGCGAAGTGGTGAAAGCGGGCAAATGGTTTAACACTCTGTCCAGTCTACTATTGATCTTTATCCTACTAGAAGTAGGTTTCAGAGTAGCAGCCGTATTAGTCTGTATTCGCAGAAAGAAAAGGAGTACTAGTGGCATCTTAGAGACTAACCAATTTATTTAAGCCTAAGCTTTCGTGAGCTACAGCTCACTTCATCGGATGTATGAAGTGAGCTGTAGCTCACGAAAGCTTAGGCTCAAATAAATTGGTTAGTCTCTCAGATGCCACTAGTACTCCTTTTCTTTCTACAGTGACTCTGAATGTGTCTCTGTTGAAATGCTTCTGTAGAACTGAGTGGTATATGTTGAATTATATGACCAAACCTATTTTAAAACTAATTGATTTTAAATCCTGCTTGTCAATAGCTCACTACTTTCCTTAGTTAAGGCAACTGTGATTTTTAAACTATTTACAGGAAAAAAATCTGTTTTATCTGTGGCATACTAGTTTCTAATGGCATAAACTAACTGTTTTGTATGTTAAGCATCTTAAATCTTCTTGCTATTTGTACTGATAGTAAAAGCTTCACAATGCACACATGGCAAATCCTGCTTGTGGCTCTTATCTGTGTCCTTTGGTTTGGTATTTTCGTGGTGGTAGACTTAAATGCTGTCTGGTTTGACTTGTGTGAACATCATTGAATCATATATGATCTCTAATTGGGAGAAACTAGGTATTTTTGCATCTATCTATATTTATCTGTGATAACTACAGATTAAAATGGATTTGTGAGAGGCTATAGAAAAGCACTAGAAAATCAATAGAATATTACGGGAAGATTGAAGAGACTAGACTACAGGTTCAGTCCGATCAAAACAAGATGCCCTTTTAGGTAAGCTACTTTCTGAGCTGGAAGTAAAGCATTGAAGCCCATTTTTCAGAGAAATATTTGTAAAATGTGGATAAGGAGCTCTCTTGTGCTGTGGTGAAACAGACTAATGAAATAACCTTATTGAAAGGAGAACTGTAAAACCTGTGAAAATGGACATGAGGTCACAAAGACTGCCTTGTGGTTAATGAAGTGACTCTTCTAATGTTCTTTTTATTTGTGGTTTATTTTTTTATGACTAACTTGCCCAGTTATACTGTCTTTTTCCATTCCAGTTCCTGAAGAACTATTCTTAATATTAATATTCAGATAGCCCTTTTACTTTCTGTGTGTGTGTGTGTGTAAGGATATCTGAAATAATTGGAACCACCCAGTTCTTTATAAAGATTTTCTGATTCCTGTTCTTGAGTTTCTAAATGTGTTGGGCTTTTTTTTTAAAGCCAAACAAAAGTACATTTTAAAACAGAAACTTTGTTGATTTGTTAAGATGTCAGTGTCTTAGAGCTCATCTACACACAAGTTGCAACCACTCTAGTTAAAGCAGTGTAACCTCCCTGGTGTGGACACAGTTATGACAGTATATGGGAAGGGGCATAAGCTACATGGGTATAAGGCCCCTTTGTATTGATATAACTTACCTACATAAAGGGTTGTATTGTTATAAATACCTTGGTAAAAAAAAATTACATCCCAAACTGAAATAGTTATACCAGCACAAGAACTGTGTGTAGAACAGGCCTCTGGTTTTAAAGCTAATACTCCCATGGAGGGGGAAGAGGGACAGAATTTTACTGGTTTAGTCTCTAAGGTGCCACAAGTATTCCTTTTCTTTTTGAGAATTTTACTGGTAATGGCTGACTACAGAGATATACAATCTCAGTGACAGGTTTCAGAGTAAGAGCCGTGTTAGTCTGTATTCGCAAAAAGAAAAGGAGGACTTGTGGCACCTGAGAGACTAACCAATTTGTTTGAGCATGAGCTTTCGTGAGCTACAGCTCCGAT